ACGAGCAAGAAAGTAGCCAAGAGCAATGTGCTTCGTTGTGTGCTCCAGTCTGTGCTCCCGACACAAGGCCAGCATGGCCTTGTTGTCTACGTACAGAACTGGAGGAGAACAAGGCGGCTCTCCTAGGTCAGTCAGTTCGTAGGTGAGCCAACGTAGCTCCTGTGCAGCCATGGCCCCCGCGTAGATCTCAGCCTCACAGCTGGAGCCGAGAACAGAAGACGAGCGGGTAGACCGCCACGAAACAGAGCCGGAACCAAGGCTGAAGGTGTAACCCTGTGACGACCGCTGCGTAGCCTGGTCGTCAGCCCAAGAAGCGTCTGCGTGACCTGTGAGGACATCTGAACGCCGCCCTCCAAGCACTAGCCCCATGCTCGACGTACTGCACAAGTAGCGCAACACCCTCTTAGCTGCAGCCATGTGCTCTGGTAGGTGTCTCCCAGGCGCAACATAGCGTGCCAAGATGCTAAGAGGGTATGCAAGGTCAGGTCGAGTGCAGGTCATCAGGTACATGAGGCAGCCAACAAGCTCTGGGTACGGGCCACTCGGCTCTACGGACTCATCCGAAGGCAGAGCTGAGAGTGAGTGGCGAGTAGACAGAGGAGTGGCCTGAGGTGAGGAGTACGTGAAGTCGAAGCGCTGAAGGACCTGCTGCACCATGTGTGACTAAGTCAGGGTAATGGTGCGGCGTGCTCTGTCCCGGGTGATCTGCAAGCCAAGGTAGTTGCGCAGTTCACCCAGGTCTGTGCACGTGTGTCTCTTCTGCAGCTCGGACTTCACGTAGGCAAGTCCAGTAGTGTCAGCAGTGGAAAAGACCAAGTCGTCGACGTACACGAGAATGTAGAGCGGCGGCAAAGAGGTGTCGGCTGTAGAAGGAGCAAACCCAAGAGCCGCAAGTGTAGTCCTCGGTGTGTTGTGCCACTCACGGGGCGCCTGGCGGAGACCGTAGACTGGCCGTCGGAGGCTCCACTGGGTACCAGGAGGAAACGACCCAGTGAAGCCAGGTGGGCGGCGCAGCCAGATCTCCTCGTGCAGGCTGCCCTGCAAGAAAGCTGTGCTGAAGTCAAGAGAGTGAAGCTCGTAGTCGCGCTGAGCGGCTATGTGCAGCAGCACCCGAAGAGTGGTCATCTTCAGGGTGGGGGAGAAGGTCTGAAAGTAGTCAACTCCCTGCCGCTGACTGAAGCCTCGAGCCACGTAACGCGCCTTGAAGACAGGCGGAGAACCCGGCGGCCGCTTCACCCTGAAAATCAACATGCCACTGACGATGTTCGCCCCAGGAGGGGGAACCGCGTCGACGTAGGTGCCGTGGACTTCCAGGAAGCCATCTCTGCGTCCATGGCGGACCGCCACTGTGAGGAGTAGGGACCCTCGATCGCCTCAGCGTACGATCGAGGAGTCGGGATGTCTGGTGCATCCGGGTCTCCCTCAGGGGCAATCAGCATGGACACGAGATGAGGCAAAGCAGCAGCAAGACACTGGAACTCCTCCTGCCTGTCCTCAAGGACGTCCGTGCTAAGAGCACACTCACCCCCGACGGTCGGAGGACAGACAGACTCAGACTCAGCAACCTCCCCACTACTTGCTCCCTCTCCCTACAGTGGTCCTACTGGAGGTCTTACGGAGCGTCGTGAGCCTGCGTCTCGTCTTGTGTCACCTGTCCGTGCTGCTCGCACGAGTGGTCGTCGTTCGCGTCAGCGTCCTCCGCCTGTCCCCGGCACGCACCGGATGTCTCTGCGTCCTTCCACTGCTCCGCTGCGTGCCCCTTTGCCTTCTCCTCCCGAGTCCTCTCTTCCTGTTCTTTCTGACCCGGAGTCGGACTCCCTTCGTGCTGCCAGTCCTACTGTCACGCGTCTCCTTGCTACTGTCGTCACTGACCCTTCCTTTGAGTCCACTGCTGCGTCTGCCTTAGTTGCTGAGCTTGTCGACTTCGCTGCTCACTGTCGTCTAGACTACGCCTGGCTGTAACTGTGACTCGGACTGGACAGGTGGCGGACACTCTAAGAGAGGAGCAGGACCAAGAGAGGACGGAAGACCAAGAACCTGCTCTAGGAGCGGAACGAAGTACGGCCGCGGCCGTGCAGTGCCCCCAGAACCAGCAGGAACAGCACTAGTACCTCCAACGGCAGCACCAGCGCCAGTAGCACCCCCAGCTCCAGCAGCGCCAACTTCAGCACCCTCAGAAGTACTAGCGCGAGCAGCACCTCCAGCTCCACTCGGACCACCAAAAGACGGAGCAGCTCTAGCTCCAGCACCTCCAGTAGCACCTACACCAGCAGCACCACTAGCTCCAGCACCAGGAGCACCTGCAGGCCCAGCAGCTCCAGTACCCCTGGTACGAGCACCTCCGGGACCCGTGGCACCAGCACCCTCAGCAGCAGTAGAACCGTCAACACCAGAGGTACCTCCAGTTCTAGCAGCATGGCTCCAGCGCCGCGCAAACCACTCGCGCAGTTCCTGAGGAGAGAGCAGCTCCCTCCGAGACGAAGCACCCGAAGGACCTCCAGGCTCAGTACCGCCAGACGCCACACGAGCAGGCCCAGCACCCTCAGGCTCCGCACCCACAGGCTCCGCACCCCCAGTCTCAGCACCCCAAGTCTCAGTACTCCCAGGATGAGCACCCCCAAACCCCGCACCCGTAGGCTCAGCAACCCCAGACCCCGCACCCGCAGGCTGAGCACCCCTAGCAGCACCAGAGTCAACAGCTACCTCGACAGGCTCGACTGCATCTACCTGGGACACACCTAAGGGGGCAGGACCCTGAGGGGGAAGGGGGTCTACCGGGGGGGGACCTGTCGCGAGGAAGAGCGGCGGCGGGGGGAGGGAGGTGTCAGTAGATCTGCACTGTGGATGCCCGATTGACCCTGGAGAGGGTTACAGGCGCGTTCGCCTGGGGGGTTATGGGCGCACTGACCCTCTACTGAACCAAGCCCTTTTATCCCAGTGGTCTAGTGGCTGGGATTCTGACATGGTATCAGAGCGGTCTCGGGTTCGATTTCCGGTGTATGCACATGTAGGCCGTTGCCGCTGTGCTTAGTCCTGGGTATCCCAGTGTGGGGGGGTGTCAGTAGATCTGCACTGTGGATGCCCGATTGATCCTGGAGAGGGTTACAGGCGCGTTCGCCTGGGGGGTTATGGGCGCACTAACTTGCTACTGAAACAAGCCCTTTTATCCCAATGGTCTAGTGGTTGGGATTCTGAAAGGAGGCTGTGCGGTAGGGGAAGAGACGGTAGTACGGAACCGACTCGTCAAACGTGACGTCCTGGGAGGACAGAACACGTCACGAGGTGGGGTGGTAGAACTGCCAACCTGGCGCGTCAGGGGGGAAGCCAAGGAAGACACAGGGAACAGCACGGGGGGACAGCTTGTCCGCAGACAAGTCGCGGTCAAACGCCCGAGATCCTCAGACACGGAATGCAGACGCATCGCCAACCTTCCCGTTCCACAGCAAAGCAGGGGAGGTCTTCGGCACGGAGACCCGGGGCTGAAGGTTGATCTGATGCGCAGCGTACCGAACCGCAAACGGCCACAGAAAATGGAGGGCAGCTCCATGGACCATGGACGTACGAGCGACGTCCATGACCATGCCAATGCGGCGCTCAGCAATCCCATTTTGCTGTGGAGAGGCCAGAAGCATGAATGTCTGGCGCATGCCCTGTGCACGACAGAAGGCTCGACGAAGGTCAGAGGAAAACTCACCGCCTCTGTCGGAGTGCAGACGCAGAAGAGGAAAGTCCGAGCCGAAACTCTCTCTGAGCTGGAGACGAGCAGTGCGGATCCAGCCGATCAACACCTCAGTGACCTCACCCTTGCTGCGCAAGGGGAAGACTGTGGTGTAACGCGAGTAGTCGTCAACCACCAGCAGGAAGTAACGCTCGTGACCCTAACCACGGACGCGGGCTGGGCCCCACACGTCCATGTAAAGCGTCTACAGTGGAGCCTCTGTCGGAGGAAACTCGGAGGAGTGAGGAGCAGCACGCTGCCTCCCCTCGACGCAGGGAACGCAGGTAGGGGCAGGCCCCGGAGGAAGAGAAGGGAGGGACCGGGGGAGACCAGAGACAAGGACACGGGAGGCCATGCCTCGGAGACGAGGCTGCGAGGGGTGACCAAGGTGGTGGTGCCAGAGGAGAGTGTGGTGAGACAGGAGACGACACGAGCAGGGGGCAGACGCAGGACCAGACCTGGACGCCGTAGCAGACACCTGACCCGACGCAGCTACCTGACCAGACGCAGAGACTGGAGGAGACTCAGTAGTCAGTGTGTACAGGCTCAACCCCGGTCGACGGGTAAACGTGGCCAAGTGTCGGCCCGTCCGAGCACACGTGCAGTGGGTCACTCGCTGACTCGCAGGATTGAACTGGTCAACCCCCCCATCCTGTAGATCAGCACCACTCACCAAGTTTGTAGAGGACGAGGGGAGGTAGAGACCTGACAGGGTGCCAGAGAGGGCCGCTGGACATGGTAAGACAGTGGAGAAGTGAGCAAGGACAGGACCCCCAGAGGGGTCCGCCAGGGAGACCGCAACTGGCCGACTAAGCGGCGTGAGTGTGGTGCGGTCTCGAAAGAAGGAGCGGGAAGCACCCGAGTCAAGGGTGAAGGTGTGGGAGGCCTGAGCCGACGTGGTACCTGAGAGAGCAGGCTCACCAGCACCTGGGGCAGCAGACTCACGAGCACCTAGAGCAGCAGCCTCACCAGCACCTAGAGCAGCAGTACCAATGCCCGGGTCAGGCGGAACACACAGGTAACAGTCACCCTCATCACTAGTAGACACAACATACATGGCAGCAAGAATAGCATCATAATCAAGATCAAAGATAGCAACCCCCGACCTCTGCAGCTTGTCAGAATGTTATAATTGTCTAGCCTGCAGTGGGGTACTCTATAGCGAGTACAATCCAATTAGGGTTTCCTATATGTATGCCAACTGCTGCTAGTGCAACCCCTCCTCTCTTTTTCATTCCTCATTTCTTTACACAGTTCTCCCCAGCGAGGGATCTCAGTGGCGTCAGGGAACTGGAGACGCCAGGCGTCCGTCAGGCGGCCGAAGCAGCGCTGGGTGGGGTGCGGGCCCCCGCACTGCTGAACCGTATGGTCGCCGGTATGCAGGACGTAGGTACAGGGACCAGCACCCCCACCCCGCTGACGCGAAGCGTACCACTCACGAAGCTGCTGGGGGGACGGGGTCTCACGAGTGCGCTGCTGCTGCTGGCGCTGACCACCACCGGAGCCGCCCCTCTGCGCAGAGCCGCCCCGACCAGTCCCACCGCTGCCGCCGCCACCTCCCCCGCCGCCGCCACCTCCGCCTCCTCCGCTCCCACCACCACCGCCGCCGCCTCCTCCGCCTCCACTGCCGCCACCGACGCCCCCACCCCCGCCACCAGTCCCACCACCACCCCCACCCCCTCCACCGCCTCCACCGCCACCTCCACCGCCCCCGCCAGCTCCTCCAGCCCCCTTGCCTCCCTTGCCCTTGCCGGTGCGGCGTCTCCCACTAGGGGCAGACGCAGCTCCGACCGACTCGAGGCCAACGAGGTCGGCCGCAGCAGCAGAGGCAACAGAGGGCAGGAGGGGGGAGGGGGAACACCCCTCAAAGAAGGGAGTACGAGGGTCACCACGAGAGGCTCCTACAGCGACTATGCTCTTCTCAGCTGCCAGGAGGCGCTCCTCGAGGAGGTCAACGGTAAGTGTGGTGGGGCAAACAGAGAGGAAGTGGTCCCTGACCGAGCGAAGGGAGTCAGGGAGCCGGGTGACTACGTAGTAGAGGGTGATGTACATGGGGGGGGGGGGGTTCTTGGTGCAGAACTCAGCAGGGAGCGCAGCGCGGTAGCGAGTGTCACTAGTGCGAAGGTGGGTAACTAGGTCAGCGACTGTGGAAAATGTGGCGAGGTCAGGGAACAGGTACGGCAGCATGAGGTGACTAAGAGCAGCAGTGGCAGGGGAAGAGTAGCGTGCAACTACAGCGTCGTACAGGGTCTTAGCGCTCTTATACTGACCAAAGTGCGCGCGCTCAGAGGACGGCAAGTGACTACGAACAGCAAGACGGGCAGCTGCATCACGTGTGGCCCACTGTGAGCGAACAATGCTGTCAGCATCGGCAGGAGGGGCAGGAGAGGCGCCAGACGTGAGATCGAACAGGGAGAGACCATCTGTCCTATCGCACTGTAGGAAAAGCTGTAGGTCATCGACCCAGACCTCAAAGTCGACAGCTCGACCCTCAGCATCAAAAGTGAGAACATTAGGAGCAGCCATTGCAGTAGTGGCAACAGCAGGCTAGTAGTAAGAGCAGGGCGGTGGTAGAGGCGCTGCTCAGGAGTGCTCTTACCAGGGCGGGTATGTAGAGGCCCGCAGGTGGTGAGGCAGGGCCGAGGCGCGCCGGCAGGGTTAGGGCCGCAACAGTGGCGGCGGCGGCGACAGCGGTTGTGGCGGCGGCTGCGGCTCGACAGTTGCGGCGGCTGCTGCTGTAGTCAACGACCGCGGCCACCGGGGCCTCGGCAGTGGTGTTCCGGCGGCTGTTGTCTCGGCTGCGGCGGCGGCGGCTACGGCTTCGGGAGCGGCAGCGGCGGCGGCAACGGCGGCAACGGCGGCGGCGGTCGGCAGCAGAGGCGGCTGCAGTCGGCAGCGGCGGTGGCTGCAGCGGTAGAGGTGGCCGATGCTGCTGCTGGGACTGAGGAGGGGCCGCTTAGGGCGGCGACGGGGCCGCGAATGGGCCACGAGGGGCCAAGAAGAGCGGGGACGGGGCCTCAACGGGCGGCGACGGGGCCGCGAAGGGCGGCGACGGAGCCGCGAAGGGCGGCGACGGGGCCGCAACGGGCGGCGACGGGGCCGCGAGGGGCGGCGACGGAGCCGCTAGGGGCGGCGACGGGGCCGCGAAGGGCGGCGACGGGGCCGTAACGGGCGGCGACGGGGCCGCGAGGGGCGGAAACGGAGTCACGAGGGGCGGCAACGGGGCCGCTAGGGGCGGCGATGGGGCCGCGAAGGGTGGCGACGGGGCCGCTAGGGGTGGCGACAGGGGCCGCGAGGGGCGGCGACGGGCCGCGAAGGGCGGCGACGGGGCCGCTAGGGGTGGCGCGAGGGGCCGTGAGAGAGGCCTCTAGGAGGACGCGACGGGCTGCTAGGGGCAAGGGACGCGACGAGAGGGCGGCCCACGGGGCGCGTCTCGGGGAGGGGCGACTCGCGCTCCGGTCAGAAAAAAAAAAAAATCGATTATTAGTGGTGGGCCCTAGGAAGCGTTCCCACTAGGGAACCTGCTCTATACCATGTGAAGAAATGAGGAATGGATTGACTAAGGGAAAGGTTGGGTACAAGTACAAACCTAGAAATGTGTTGTACCCCATATGTGCTACCCCCATTATAGCCTACACAGGCTAAGTCATACAAGTCTGACACATGTCTCTACTAGTGCAGCCGGGAACGGTCCTAGACCAGGTAGGTGAGACTCAACTGGTGGAGCAATGCGCTGGCGAAGTCGCGAGGGCCAGTGCGGTGTAATAGCGTGAGGACCAAAACGCTCACGGTGGAGGTCGTCGAGTCGACGGTAGCAGCTGGACGCAGAGTGGGCAGGACTCCAACAGGTGGTGCCAGCACCAGGGCCTGTCAGGGCCCGGTACCCGCAGGGGCCGACGTCTCGCCCACTGCTAGTTGAGTCACTGCTGGGGGCTCCACCCTTTGGACCCGCAGGTCCCCACTGCTGGGAGTGCTGCGGCTGGCCCTGCTGTTGTAGAACTCGAGTACACGCCATGTGAGCCTATGCTGCTGCTGGTTCTGCTGAGGGCAGCCTAAGCTGCTACTGGTGTGCTGGGGGCAGCCTAAGCTACTGTTGATGCGCTGGCGGTAACCTAAGCTGCTGCTCGAGCGCTGGGGCAGCCTATGCTGCTTCTGGTTTTGCGGTGGGGCAGCCTAAACTGCTGCTACTGGTGCTGCTGGTGGCGGGTTTCAACTCTTGAGGCGGAGGATTCAGGGCATGGGGGGCAGCTCTGTCTGGTACAGGTGGGACAACGGGTGCGGTTTGGTGCGGTTCTGTGCAATTTAGTGCGGTTCTGCGCGGTTCTATGAGGTTCTGTGCAGTTCTGCGGGGTGGAGAGTACCGGGTGGGGCAGCTGATTCCGGGTGAGGTGACTGGAACGGGTGGGGCAGCAGCTCTGGCTTGAACGGGTGGGGCAGCGGGTGCGGTTCTGTGCGGTTCTGTGCAGTTCAGTCCGATTTCTAGTGTGGTGGCGGATTTCTGCTCGTGGGGCGGCAGATCGCGGGTGAGGCGATGGCTAACAGACCGGGGGCGGGTAAGGCAGCGGGTAGGGCCGTGTCTAAAGGGTGGGGCGGCGGTTATGACGGTGGGAAACAGGTGGGGCGACGGGTCGCTCGTGCGCGCGGCTGCTGCTGTCCGTGCGTGCGACAAACGACGGGGCCGCGGGGCCCGCTAGCGAAGGAGCCTCGGGGCCCACGAACGAAGGGCCGCAGGGCCGGCTAACGAAGGGCCGCGGGGCCCGCTAACGAAGGGCCGCGGGGCCCGCTAGCGAACAGCCGCGACGGATGACGGGCGACGGGAAAAAAAAGGGAAATGGCCGCGATCGACGGGGGGAAACGGGCGACGGGCGACTGGCGACGGCGGGGGGGGGGGGGGGGGGGGGGGGGGGGGGTTTACAGGCGACGGGGCTAAGGTAAGCGCGCTACGGGCGGTCTAGGACGGGGCGCGACTAGGTGGGCCCATGATAGTCGAGTGATTTTTCCTAAGGGGAAAATCTCGCTAGGGTTAACCTAGCTCTATACCATGTCACAATGTTAAATTGACTAAAAACAGAAAGTACAAACAAGATTATGCAAAACCTAACCCTAGTGCAAGTACAAAAAAACACAAGGGACAACACCTAGACTAGAACTACACAAGCACATAGCTCTGCGCTACTTCCTTGCTCGAAAGTTGCAGCAGCGTGGTCAGGTTCGTCTTGTTTACATGGCCTCTCAGGCCAACACAGCTGATATCTTCACCAAGGCACTTCTGCCTTGTGATCATCAGCGTTTCTGTACTGTTTTAAGCCTTGTGCCTACCTGGCCTCACTTGCTCACTTCTTGACTTTGCCTGTACTGTGATCTATATACTTATACATGCATGCTTACGCTTGCTAGGTTGTGGTCAACGTACTGTTTGTTCTCCTTGAGAGAATTGAAATGAGAATGAATGAACTATGAATGAATTGGGTACAAGTACTAACCCTAATTGGGTTGTACCCCTTATGGGCTACCCCACTATAGCCTACACAATATGCATGAGCTTTAATGTTCTGACACACCCCCATAGGCAAAGTGGGGGAGAACAAGAGGTCACAAGACCAGTCAAGCAAAGCAAAGCAAAGCAAGCTCAGGGTGGATCACAAAGTCACCACACATTCCGAGCACAAGATCAAGGCCACAAGGCCAGTTCACATGCAGGAGTACATATATATATAAAAAGGGCTAGACAAGCAAGAGCAGGTATATATATATATAAGTAACAGTACAAGCAAGGTCAAGAGGTGAGCAAGTGAGGCAAGGTAGGCACAAGGCCCAGCTGAGTACAGAAGCGCTGATGGTCACAAGGCGCAAGCGCCTTGGTGAAGATATCAGCAGTGTTGGCCTCAGAGGCCACGTACGCAAGACGCAGCTGACCACGCTGCTGCAGCTCACGAGCAAGAAAGTAGCGGAGAGCAATGTGCTTCGTTCTGTGCTCCAGTCGCTGCTCCCGACACAAGGCCAGCATGGCCTTGTTGTCTACGTACAGCACTGGAGGAGAACGAGGCGGCTCTCCGAGGTCAGTCAGCAGGTAGGTGAGCCAGCGAAGCTCCTGTGCAGCCATGGCTCCTGCGTAGATCTCAGCCTCACAACTGGAGCCGAGAACAGAAGAAGAGCGAGTAGCCCGCCACGAAACAGAGCCGGAACCAAGGCTGAAGGTGTAACCCTGTGACGACCGCTGCGTAGCCTGGTCGTCAGCCCAAGAAGCGTCTGCGTGCCCAGTAAGGACCACTGGACTCTGCCCTCCAAGCACAAGCCCCATGCCCGACGTACTGCACAAGTAGCGCAACACCCTCTTCGCTGCAGCCATGTGCTCCGGTCTGTGTCTCCCAGGAGCAACATAGCGTGCGAGAATGCTAAGAGGGTATGCACGGTCAGGTCGTGTGCAGGTCATCAAGTACATGAGGCAGCCAACAAGCTCTGGGTACGGGCCACTCGACTCTACGGACTCATCCGAAGGCAGAGCTGAGAGCGAGTGGCGAGTAGGCAGAGAATTGGCCTGAGGCGAGGAGTACGTGAAGCCGAAGCGCTGAAGGACCTGTTGCACCATGTGTGACTGAGTCAGGGTAATGGTGTGGCGTGCTCTGTCCCGAGTGATCTGCAAGCCAAGGTAGCTGCGCAGTTCACCCAGGTCAGTGCACGTGTGTCTCTTCTGCAGCTCCGACTTCACGTAGGCGAGTCGAGCAGTGTCAGCTGTGGCAAAGACCAAGTCGTCAACGTACACGAGGATGTAGAACGGCGGCAAAGAAGTGTCGTTGCGCAGAAATAGCAACGGGTCGGCAGTAGAGGGAGCAAACCCAAGAGCCGCAAGTGTAGTCCTCAGTGTGTTGTGCCACTCACGCGGTGCCTGGCGGAGACCGTAGACTGGCCGCCGAAGGCTCCACTGGGTGCCAGGAGGAAAAGACCCAGTGAAACCAGGTGGGCGACGCAGCCAGATCTCCTCGTGCAGGCTGCCCTGCAAGAAAGCAGTGCTGAAGTCAAGAGAGTGTAGCTTGTAGTCACGGTGAGCAGCTATGTGCAGCAGTACCCGAAGAATGGTCATCTTCAGGGTGGGAGAGAAGGTCTGAAAGTAGTCAACTCCCTGCCGCTGACTGAAGCCACGAGCCACGTAACGCGCCTTGAAGACAGGCGGAGAACCCGGCGGTCAGTTCACCCTGAAAATCCACATGCCACTGACGATGTTCGCCCCAGGAGGGGGAACAGCGTCAACGTAGGTGCCTGTGGACTTCCAGGAAGCCATCTCTGCGTCCATAGCTGCCTGCCACTGAGAGGAGTCGGGACCCTCTATCGCCTCCGCGTAAGAGTGCGGAGTCGGGATGTCAAGTGCATCCGGGTCTCCCTCAGGGGTAAGCAGTATGGACACGAGATGAGGTGAAGCAGCGGCCAAGCACTGAAACTCCTCCTACCTGTCCTCAAGGACGTCCGTGCCAAGGGCACACTCACCCCCGACGGACAGAGGACAGACAGACTCAGACTCAGCAACAAGA